CGCCTAGGAGATAAATCACGGACACATTATTCAAAGTAAAAATAAAGTAGACGGCAAAGTATTTGATCCTCTGCTACGGTCGGCATTTTTTCGTGAACCAAAACAATTGCAATTAACATAAAAAAAATTGCCGGAAACGGGTCAACATCCGGCAATTTTTAACCATTTCTGAGCCACTAAGTTGTCACTTTCATTTACTGGACTCATTAGTATCAAAACATTAAACTTACCATGTACCCACAGTATTGCGTAATGCGAATCCTTACCATATAGGATATAGGAAGTAAAACAATAATACAACAATTAGTACATCTAGCAGATATATATTATTTACTATAATAGGAATTAAAGTTTCAATGCCCAAAAAAAACTATTTGGTCATGCTTACGTGCCCACAAATTGTGGGTTTTTACCCACGCTTGGTGTCTTCCTTTATTGTTTTACATCACATCGGGCTCATTATGGACCCCGCTATTATATCTGGCAAAGAACAAAAGATACAGGTGTCTCTGTCTGTCTGTCCGTCTTTTCCTTCCACGGCTATTGTAGTGTAACAACAATTCTTTGACGAGTGACGAAATGAAGTTGTTCTGTCTACAATAACGAAGGCAATTACCCACCCTACGGTAAAAAAATAATAGCAATAGTGACACTAGAGTTTAAGAAGATTAAGCGTCAATTTGGGAGGAAGAGATTCTACCACGGAGGGACGTATGGTGTTGGGACGATGGGCGGTTGGTTTAGTTCCAAGGTGGATAAAAAGCCGGTCGCAATTATACTAACACTTGAAGTAAAAGGCCAAATTAGATTATTATTTGAGCACAGCAAAATTCTGATGGATTTCCTTGTCGTCATCAGTCCTAAGACTGGTTGGACACGTACCTCCACTCTTTTCTATCCTCAGCTAAACTTCGCATTTCCCTAAAACTAGAACAGCCCACATCCCTAACTATTCGTGAACAGTAATCTAATCTAGGTCTACCTCTACCCCTCCTAACTCCTGTTTCTGCCTCTAATATGTCTCTGACTAGACCTTCATGCCTGANTACTATAAATAACTAGGCAATTAATTCATCAAGGAATTCAAACATAAACGGATGATCTTCGACAAAGTACTTAAAAACTAAAAAATTACACCATTCTTATCCTGAATCTTTAACCAATACTTATACTACTATAAATAACTAGGCAATTAATTCATCAAGGAATTCAAACATAAACGGATGATCTTCGACAAAGTACTTAAAAACTAAAAAATTACACCATTCTTATCCTGAATCTTTAACCAATACTTATACTACTATAAATAACTAGGCAATTAATTCATCAAGGAATTCAAACATAAACGGATGATCTTCGACAAAGTACTTAAAAACTAAAAAATTACACCATTCTTATCCTGAATCTTTAACCAATACTTATACTACTATAAATAACTAGGCAATTAATTCATCAAGGAATTCAAACATAAACGGATGATCTTCGACAAAGTACTTAAAAACTAAAAAATTACACCATTCTTATCCTGAATCTTTAACCAATACTTATACTACTATAAATAACTAGGCAATTAATTCATCAAGGAATTCAAACATAAACGGATGATCTTCGACAAAGTACTTAAAAACTAAAAAATTACACCATTCTTATCCTGAATCTTTAACCAATACTTATACTACTATAAATAACTAGGCAATTAATTCATCAAGGAATTCAAACATAAACGGATGATCTTCGACAAAGTACTTAAAAACTAAAAAATTACACCATTCTTATCCTGAATCTTTAACCAATACTTATACTACTATAAATAACTAGGCAATTAATTCATCAAGGAATTCAAACATAAACGGATGATCTTCGACAAAGTACTTAAAAACTAAAAAATTACACCATTCTTATCCTGAATCTTTAACCAATACTTATACTACTATAAATAACTAGGCAATTAATTCATCAAGGAATTCAAACATAAACGGATGATCTTCGACAAAGTACTTAAAAACTAAAAAATTACACCATTCTTATCCTGAATCTTTAACCAATACTTATACTACTATAAATAACTAGGCAATTAATTCATCAAGGAATTCAAACATAAACGGATGATCTTCGACAAAGTACTTAAAAACTAAAAAATTACACCATTCTTATCCTGAATCTTTAACCAATACTTATACTACTATAAATAACTAGGCAATTAATTCATCAAGGAATTCAAACATAAACGGATGATCTTCGACAAAGTACTTAAAAACTAAAAAATTACACCATTCTTATCCTGAATCTTTAACCAATACTTATACTACTATAAATAACTAGGCAATTAATTCATCAAGGAATTCAAACATAAACGGATGATCTTCGACAAAGTACTTAAAAACTAAAAAATTACACCATTCTTATCCTGAATCTTTAACCAATACTTATACTACTATAAATAACTAGGCAATTAATTCATCAAGGAATTCAAACATAAACGGATGATCTTCGACAAAGTACTTAAAAACTAAAAAATTACACCATTCTTATCCTGAATCTTTAACCAATACTTATACTACTATAAATAACTAGGCAATTAATTCATCAAGGAATTCAAACATAAACGGATGATCTTCGACAAAGTACTTAAAAACTAAAAAATTACACCATTCTTATCCTGAATCTTTAACCAATACTTATACTACTATAAATAACTAGGCAATTAATTCATCAAGGAATTCAAACATAAACGGATGATCTTCGACAAAGTACTTAAAAACTAAAAAATTACACCATTCTTATCCTGAATCTTTAACCAATACTTATACTACTATAAATAACTAGGCAATTAATTCATCAAGGAATTCAAACATAAACGGATGATCTTCGACAAAGTACTTAAAAACTAAAAAATTACACCATTCTTATCCTGAATCTTTAACCAATACTTATACTACTATAAATAACTAGGCAATTAATTCATCAAGGAATTCAAACATAAACGGATGATCTTCGACAAAGTACTTAAAAACTAAAAAATTACACCATTCTTATCCTGAATCTTTAACCAATACTTATACTACTATAAATAACTAGGCAATTAATTCATCAAGGAATTCAAACATAAACGGATGATCTTCGACAAAGTACTTAAAAACTAAAAAATTACACCATTCTTATCCTGAATCTTTAACCAATACTTATACTACTATAAATAACTAGGCAATTAATTCATCAAGGAATTCAAACATAAACGGATGATCTTCGACAAAGTACTTAAAAACTAAAAAATTACACCATTCTTATCCTGAATCTTTAACTAATATTTATACTATTCCATCAAGTCGGAAGGGTATCTTGTGACATTTGAATTTTGGACCATTTATGCCTTGCAAGAGGATTTAAGTCATGAAAAAACTAACGATAAACAACCATAAAGAAGGTTAAATACTCGTATCTTCTTCCATGTGGCATAAAGTATCCCTTGAGAGTCTAGATGCTGATGATGATGGCGAGGTTAATCTGAATGCGTCGTTAACTATTTTAAGAATCTGTTAGAAGTGACGGAGGCGGTTCAGGAATCGTCCCGTTATTGTTTTACAGTGTCGGCGGCAAGAGTCCCGGGCGTTCGCCAGGATGCTCGTAAAAGAGTCGTTAGCTTTGTCCTGTGACAATAAGGGTAGCGGCTCGAGACTCGTCGCGTTCCAATTATTACCGGCGCTAAAACTTTTATGCACGCATAAACTTTTAAGACCATTGTGGTTTAACTTAACCACAATTTTACTGCATCGGCAGTTGATGGGATGCGCCGCTCGCTTGCTCGTCTTTCCTTCCGCTCTCATTCAGATACTGTCGTCACTACTTTTCCTTCGCACAATTATTTTCCCTTTACTTAGAGAAAGGTACAGCGTGGGCGATGCGCCCAAACGAATATCGGTTGAAGGTCGATCCCCTCAATATGATCGATCGTTTACCGTCAGATGTTTCCGATAAAAGTCCAATCGTAAGCCTGTGGCGCGTCTTACAGTACGACCATTATGGCGGTCCGCGCACTGACATCGTGTACCTATCTCTAAGTGAACGGACTGTAATGCCGATTTCATAAGGATTTGTAAATGTCTTTTCCTAAATAAAGACGTTCATCAACTTAAAATATCGAGAGGATTCGTTCAAAAGAAGAACGAAAAATCGGCACTGTTTTTCATTGGGGAAGAAAAACATTGTTTAATAATAATAGTCAAAAACTGTATCCCTCAGCTTTCTCCAACAGCTTGTCCAGAGTTAATTTAATGATGGAAACGTATAAGGATTCCAAATTCAAAACGCCTGAGATAAATTATCCTTTGGGAAAACAAGAACTGCTTCTAGTATTTTCCGTTTCTTCAAAACATGAAAGTATTTTTTTATTCTTCTCTAATCCATCAGAGAAATCCACAAATTACTTTTATTTAATCGTAACGTATTATTATGCCATTAACTTCATACATGCCATTTGATTTTTCGCACCGATATAACAGCAAAAACAACGGGGTCGTCGACGTACAAATGCATTTATTTAAAAGTGGTAATAGAACACAGAGGTTTAGAATAACAGAAGCAAAGCGTCGTTTGTAAATAAGAGAGCGAGAGAGCGCAACCGACGTCGCCGACTGCACCCTTAATCTGATTTCTTCCCTTTCAGTTTGCGTGTGAGTCATTAACCCCCACTCTCGGGCGCCCCCTTTGCTATGCATACAAACAATACACGAGAGCCATTAGGGCACCCGCAAAATTGCGTAGTGAAATTAACCCTGCATGCAGGGACCATATTTATACGAACCTACAATAACACAACACACACACACACTTCGAGGGTTGACAACCACCAAATCTGGGTTACTTGGATATATGTACATGCTGCTACAATCTAATATTTTATCCAATCACTTATCTACCCATAAAAATGAATTAAATTTCCTGACTTACTAAACGCGAAAATTATTACGATTTTTATGGACTGTTCTTTTGCATTGTTCCAGGCGATGCTAGCAACACAAGTGTTGGTAGCGGGGAAGGCACTGAAGAAGACGATGATACCAATGGGAAGAAAAACCAGAAAAAAAGGGGCATCTTCCCAAAGGTGGCGACGAATATCCTTCGGGCGTGGCTGTTTCAACATTTAACGGTAAGTAGTTCATTATCAAACTATTCGAAGGTTTTTCTAAAAGTATCGGCAATGAGCCATTTTATTGTGTTGTATCCATGCGAACCGTTGCTGTAATTGTTGGAAAATTTATACTGTTTTACTGTAAAATCACGTCCAGCATTTGAATGAATCATAATGCAATTAAGTTAATCTTTGGAGGGAAAAGAGAAGACGCTTTCGGTAGCTAACGATTTTGTTAAACTGCGAACAATTTTGCATTACGTCCTTTCTGGGAATACCCGTTTTGCAGGGAGCTGGCTTAAGAATTCCGTATGCAAATCCCAAAACGGTCGTGGACGCGCCGGAGCTGGCCCGGAAATTGTGATTTTTATCTTAATAGCAGAAGTTAAGCTTTTTCCTTCCATTGTATCAAATGACTTAAAAAATCCGGAAACAAAACTCGAAAAATATGAACGAAATGCGATAGTAACACTTAAATGTTTATATTGTTTTCATTGTTTTCTATATTTAACCCCGAAATGTTTGTGTTAGTACATACTAACTAACCCCTATTAAAGTTCTTGTAATTCGTGTAATTGACGGTTTGTCTAATTTTCGTTCTGTAAATACTGTACCATATTTATTTATGTTTCATGTCAGTGTTCTGTCTGGTTGATTTAATGAAAAATTGGCGACCTCGTTAAACTTCTATTTTTTACCGTAATACATTTACTAAACGAAACAGGCCATTTATTGACATGGCCTTTGACAGTTTTGTGAAAGCGAATAGAAATTTTTAACTTAAGTTTAACATATCGTTTATATATTAAGAAGATTGCAATCTTTTTTAACATATAATCATTGGGTACCTATAGAGTCAAGTTTATTAGAGAAAATTGTCTATGTCAATTTATAAAATCATCCTTAATTAACATTTTCGTGAATCCCTTCCACACAGCAGGATCGCTTTAGTTTCGTATTCTGTAGTTAGCGTTTGTCCATTACTCATGTTTCAAATTAAACAAAGCTGACTGTTGCCGTCGCGATTGCGAAGTTCGGTGTTGTGGGGCTAAAGGTTGGGAACCGCGCCACGGCAGGAAATTGTCCGGTTCACCCCTCCCTCCCTCTCTCTTCCCACCCGTCCGGGGGTTCAGGATTACTTCGGCGGTTCCAACCTTGCGAACGGGTCCTGTATACGTTATAATGCGTACGGTGGCGTTTTATCTGACGCCGGCATGCAAAACCACCAACGACAGTTCACCCCCGAAAACCCTCCCTTTGCATGTACTACTCAGCGATCCGCTATACGGAAAGAGTTTCCCGTTCGAATTACCCATTCGGTCACCAAATGACACGTTTAACTTTCAAAATTTTAACTCGACCAAACAAGACTAACTAAAGCTCTCTTATCGTGTTCAGGATTATTAGAAAGTATTTCGTATGTGAAAATCCTCTCGTGTTGAAAAATGGCGACGGATGTTTATTTGAACGTCTGTCTGTCGTTTTAAATCCTTGAGTTGTCCTGATGAGAAAAAATGCACCGTCGCTTGTTTTGTTGTCTGGCAGGGCAGCGTGTGCACAGCGGCATGTAAGAAAGAAAATCCGGGATGATTTGGAACGACGGTAAGCAGGACACATGTCGGCGGCCACTCCCTCAGGATAAAGTGGGATAACGTGCCGGAAATATAGCCCAAGATGCAGCCAAGCCGGAAATAGAAGCTCGTAGCCGGAAAGACCATTTTTTTCTTTTCGTTCCGCTCAGATATATCGGCGACACAATCGTAAAAATTCGAGCTTTTCGTCATGTACAAAATATTGGACGGAAATCGCCACGCAGATGAGGGTGCGTTCGCTGCAGGGGTGTTTTTATCTACTCGATCGATCTATCTTAAAGGTTTCTGGAATCTACGAATGTGCTTCTTACAGCATCCCACCATTTTTTGAAAGGTCGCATTACATAATGCATCAAATTAAAATGTTAGCATCGATGTCGTTTTAATAAATGTTAGATACGAATTGTTTGCGTAATCTCTTTCGTTCCCGCAAACAAACAAAAAAAAATGCCAATTCCATTTTGAGTAGATATATATATATATGTGTAAATGTAATGCCATTGTGGCTGCGTAACAAGAAGTAAGGTCAGTGAGCGTACGCAGAGAAAATTGGTTAAGGTTAGTGGGTTCGTTCTGTCGATGTCGACGGCACGGCTGTGCGGCATTACCACGGCAGCCACCTCGGAGTCTCGCGTTCTGCTTCTCTCCTGCGACTGTCAGCTGTCAGTTATAAAAAGTAATGGAGGCATTTCTAAGGAGGTTAGGTTCGAGTCATTCAAACTGACAGGCAACGATCAATAACGCCACTTGCTACAGACAAAATGCCTTTATCGGAGACGCAAACTTACACAATACACGAATATTTCAAAAATGTCGCAGTGTGTCGCCCCCGTCTGACACAGATCAGGAAATTGTGGAAAATTATTAGAGCAACGAACTTCTTGTAGGTAGTCATCTTCAAATAAATTTTCATTTCCTTGTTTCCAAAGAATGTAGAAAATATATGTCTGACAATTCATTCTACCGAATGCTTTACGCTCTTGGTGACTGTTCTCATGAAGACGTTGTCCAGAATGTCATTTTACCAAAGGGATGCAATTTAATTGTTGTGTTTCTCTTTTTTAATGGAAGATCGAAAAATGAATTTTTGGAACTAAGTGTCCATTTTTTTGGCTAGCCCAAATAGTCATAATACAATCAATCCAATCATCTGATGCTTTGGCATCAAGTTACTTGCATTAGAAAATTTCTCTTGGTCCCACTCGCATGTTATGGGTAAGGGGATAGAAGAAAAGCGGGGGGCAAGTACATGAATATTTGAGCGATGCATCAACCACCCTGATCCCGGCTTACTTTGCACGACTCATTAACCCGCGCGTTAATCCCGATATCGGATACTTCTCTCCTGCCAGCGACTAACACTACACCAACCACTACGATTGCTACTACCATTACTACTACACACTACCACCGTTGCTGCCGGACGTTTTATCGATCCACACCGACCCTTCTTGATGGCCGAAGAACGGTCAGAAAATTCGATATAAACTCCGCTATATGCTGGCAGTTTGTTTGATGTGAGAGACTACATTTTTCGTCATTATCGGTAAATTGACTGGTTGCAATGCGAAGGAAAATAGTACACATAAGTGATTCATTGAAAATCTAGACAAAAGCAACAAAATGTGTAAAGCCAAAAGCAGTCTTCTTGAAGAATAGCTTTTTTGTAGACCTTAAATAATTTCATCGATTTATAAAAATCTCACAGTCATCCCGAGCAATGTTCTAATATCGTCAATCCGTGCACCGGTTCGTTACTGTCACCCCCTCGATTGCAACCACCCAAATGGCCATTATTTACGACCCCGTCTGGTGTTGTCATTGTGCCACTCGGCGAGATATCAACGTGCCCTTGCTCGATGGTTCCAGCTGTAAGGATTTGCCGTAAAATCCTTGTCATTCTCGTTCGTCACCTGAGCCTTTTAGTAGTGAGTGCGATGGTCTCATATGTACTTAATAAATTAGTACTAAAGGATAGCTTATGTTACGTATTTCTAAAAATATAACATCAGTTCTTGATGTTTATTTCAGAGTAGTTATTTTGCGACTGATCTTGGAATTTCTTCCCTACTTTCTCGTAAATAACTTTGGGCTGCCGTCGACGTCGCGTCGTATGTCACGTCCCCGGTGATCGATTCGTGTTTCGAAATCTTTCGACTGCGAAAGTACATTTGTATAGTATATCGAAAATGTAACTAGTATTATCTAAATCCATCGAAGTGGGAATGCGCGCCGTACTTTTGCAGAGATGAAGGGATGACCCAATTTTCCCGGTGACTGGCTGCAGGCAAGACTCCGGGGGACAGTGGTGATGAATGTTGCCGTCGCTTGGCAGATTACTGCCGCCGGAATTAGTGGAAACTGCGAGCTGACGGGAATTATAGCGAAAAGCCCGAGATAAACTCAAAAAGAACCACCACGACTCTCGCACAGCACAGCAAAGCAAACTCGAATTTTTATCTTTTCTTCTCAAATATTCCAAACACATTCTCCAGTCTTCTGTTTTTAAATTTACCAACAAAAACGTACAGGTAGGAAGTTAGCCAAAAGAATAATTGTCAGGAATTTTCAGGCTATACAGGTTCCAGTAGTAATAAGTTTCTCTATTATGTACACAAGCAATTTTTTAGGTAATAGAAATATTTATTAGTATTTATCATAATGTTTGCAATTGTGAAATGACTGGCGTGAGTTATGACGATACCGAGACTGCGGCGGACGTGTGCGTAAAAGATGGTAAGGTGGTAGTTGTGGTGTGGTTCTAGACGACCATCCCATTTAGTTTCTCTGCTGGCGTGTGTACGCTCGATAAGGACGGTACTCTGTCATCGGTGACATTATCAGAACAGCTGCCGGCAACCTTGGCGACCTCCTCGCGCAAGCCGCGTCTCCCGGCGACGAATTACGCTTTTCTTCTTCCACCCAACAAACAATCGTCGTCGACAAGACTTGATGTAGACACGAATTGCTCAAACCGATCTTTTCTGACAAATTTAAACATCAACCGAATGCAAAAATGTAGAGACGAAAATGAATAGTTCCAGCAAATAAGTAATGTTGCAAGTTCTTTTCTGGAAATTCGTGAATCTGAGACTTTCTGGTGTGACCATTGTGTCTACCATTTTATCGAGCCATCATGTATCCATCTTGTGTTGTATAGAAGAATGAGCAACGTGCGTTCTCGATGGTGAGGTCAAAAGAACCTTATGACATCGACCGCGTTACTTCGAAAGAAAACAAGAGAAAGACGAAGACGGCGAAGAAACGAGAAGAGACGCGGACGAAAAAAATAAATAAATAAGGGAGCGAAACGACCAATAGCCGGTACATCTCGGTCGGCGAAGAGTTTAACTTATACGTATACCACAAGTATACATTTACCTGGAGGCTTTTCATGTCGTACCTGTTTAACAGCCAATCGCGGTC